TCTTGCATACTTTTATTGGTAAGCATATTCCTGCCAGAAATTATTCTCTACTTTCAGCCTCTTCATGAGCACAGTGAGTAAGACAGTTGTCATTGCTATGTGCATTAGCACTCTGTAAGTGCATAATTTTTCCCTTTGTGAAAAGGCAGCCAAAGTCTTCCAGTGTAATTCATGAAGCCATGTAATGGAAGGGAGAATTTTATGTTGCCTGCTGCATGATCAGCAACACTCTGTGACAATGCTAACTATTCTAACCAAACAGAAAAGGTCACTTTTGAATGCAGTTTATCTCAAGCAAGGAAATCAATACAGATAGGACACAAATCATTACAAGCAGTATTTATACAGCAGAGGGATTTCATATTGGACAACATTGGTGCAAGCTTGTCACAGTGTAACCATAAATCTAGCCCATATGGCAGAAGACTACAGAGACCTGACCCTAAATTACCTAATTAAGCAAACTATTCTACTTTCTGACTGACCTTGCTGCCAGGACACACTTTGATGTCCAACAGCTGAGCTAAACATTATGTACATCTAAGATGACATCTCTAGGAAAATTGCCAGACATATTCCCACATATAATGTAACCTATTACTTATTATTTGATGAATAAGAAGATATTTTATAATACAAATAGACAAACTGGAGGGTATTCAAAGCAGAGGAACCTTTTTTTCTTCCAAGAAATTTTTTTCAGAGATGGAAGGGAAGAGAGAAGCATGCAGAGTTTGCCTGAGTAAGGTTTGTCCTCTCATTCCCTCCTCTGCACCATCTGTGCATCCACAGACTGTGCACAGGCTGTGAGAAAGCAAGAGAATGAGCAGAAAGTCACCTCATCATGATCCTGCACTGGGCTGTCACAAGGAATCTCCTGGCCTTGACATAGTTGCTATGCCCACAGGGACTTTTACACCCACTTGAAGCTTGCACTACCAAACTGAGACAGGGCACTGGAGACTGGTGTCACGTAGAAAAAAACTCTGGGCTGGTTACATTATGTGGGGACTATTGTTGAGCTCTAACAGCCCAGCTTGTCACAAAAGAAATTCAAAGCTCTTTATTTGCAATCAACTCTCACACTGCGTTGGCTCTCAGGAGGACAAAATAGTAGTTTCCAAATTATTGAAACTGAAAAATTCACAGCTGAAATCTCTAAGAAAAAAACCCAACCATTACAAGTTGCAAAAGTAGCAGGAGAATATTTTGAAGGGGAATGATTAGGTTAGGTAAAGCTTCCCAGAAGTGAGAAACAGGGAGAATCTCTGGTGAAAGAACTTCACCTTGTGAAATTTAAAGTCAAACCAGTGAAAGCCCTCCACAGAGTAGCATCTCAAACAGCTGGGATATTCCCTAATGCTCCTGGCAGAAGGAAGTAAAATCTGTCGCATGTTCTTTAACCTGTGAGTTGCTTCCTTCAGCAAAGGAGTCCATTATTCTTCGTCATCACTCCAGGTACTGTTCATGAGTTTCTTCCAACAAAGGAATAGCTGACTGGAATAGTGACCCTCTCTTGCTCCTTGGCTGGGGAAGCTGGCTACTGGGAAATGCTGCATTTCTGTGCCTTTCCTTAGAAATATGGGCGCTACTTCTGAATTCTTCAGACCTTCTCAGACATGGAGGTGGTCAGGGCCAGGGACCAGCATCCATGAACACAGATACAGTGCTGTGTCTTTGTGGTTAGAAGCTGGAACCTGGTGCCCCAGAGCTCTCACTGACCTGTAACTGCTTGAGCTATAAGGCCAAACAGCTAGCTGGAGCAGGGAGAACAGCTTTTATCTTCTGGGGAGGCAGAGTGGTTCTTCTACTCTCTGAATAGCACTGTTACACATCCTGTAAGGATTTCTGTATGAAGGGTGAAGAATAGAGAGGTATAATGGGTTATAACTATTGCATGTGATTGGATCAAAAAAAGTAAAATAATTCATCAGTATGTATGAATATTTTAATCTAAATCAGATTTTGTTTTTAATACAGATTATTGGTGAGCCATATACTATTTTTCAGGGCCTACAAAAGATGACTGGTAAAGGTATAACTACTGCAAAAAGATCCTTAAATTTGCTACACTGCGGTCTGATTTTCCATTAGAAAACCTTTAAGCTTGTCCATTCTGCAAAAAAAATATAATAAATTACCACCAGAAAGCACCTAACCTACTTAGTAAATGGGCTCTGTTTAGGAACAGGATGGAAAAAGTAATAGCTGAATAGAAAAAAAACAGTGACCTAGAACCCAGCATGCCTCTGAGGGGAGAAGATGGTATCTTAGCTGACTCCACCTCCATGGAAATGCTAGGGGGTTGTGCTGGTTTGGGCTGAAGTAGAGTTAACTTTCTTCACATGGCTACTATGGGGCTATGTTCAGTCTTTGTGCAGGGCACAGGGTTGATAATGCAGGGATGTTTTTGTTATTGCTGAGCAGAGCTCACACAGAGCCGAGGTCTTTACTGTGTTCTGTACTGCCACACTGGCAAAGGAAGTTGGGGGTGCATGGGAGATTGGGAGGAGACACAGCTGGGACAGGTGATCCAAACTAACCAAAAGGATATTCCATACCATATGACATCATGCTCAGTATATAAGGTGGGAGGAAGAAGGAGGAAGGTGAGGGGCACATTTGGAGTGATGGCGTTTGTCTTCCCAAGGAACCATTACGTGTGATGGGGCCCTGCTCTCCTGGAGATGGCTCAACACCTCCTGTCTGTGGAAAGAAGTGAATTAATTCCTTGTTTTGCTTTGATTGTGTGTGCAGCTTTTGCTTTTTCTATTAAACTGTCTTTACCTCAATCCATGAGTTTTTCTAGCTTTTACCCTTCCAATTCTCTCCCCCAGCCCGTTGGTGAGGGAGTGTGTGAGCAGCTGTGCGGTTCTTAGTTGCTGGCTGGGGTTAAACCGCAACAGGGGTTTTGCCAGATCTAGGAACAAACACATCACAAGATATAAAGAGTTAAGTGACCTGCTCTGAGAAGCATAAGGGATGAAGAAGGGGAGAAAGCTTTAAAGAAGATTTGAAAAATTCTCCCTTTTGAGGTGTGAAAAGAGAAATATTTTGTGAGTTAGTGGCCAGGATTAACCCTAAAGTAGGACTGCTCAGGCAATGACTGAACACAACTGCAAGGCAAACCAATTCAGATTGGACCTTGTGAAAGTGCTGTGCAAGAACAACCAATAAAGGGGGGCTAGAAAACAAGCACATGGGAATATAGCTTCCCTGCAAATATCCAGTATTTAAATAATCTTCTTAATTTGACTTGCAGAGAGACAAAGACAGTTGAAAACACCTCTGCTGAGCTCTTGATGGAACTCTTCCTACATTATGGTATTGGAGTTTGGCCTTGGAGTGTAAAGTAGTTAGAATATATTTATATTCCTATTCCTGCCAAATCTAGTTCTGCAATTTAGTGCCTTGGAAACGATAACACCTTGTGTATAGCAGTTAGCATACTGGGAACAAAAAGTTAGCCAGTTCACATTTTAGAATGACTAAAAATGGCGAGTCTCCCTTCTCACATTTGAGAATTGAAGGTCCCAAGACAAGTGCTAACACTAACTGCAGTGATTGGCAGGGAGTAAAAGGTAAACACCATGGTTTCCTTGGCACTGAGGTCAACCTTTTGGTAGTTTCTACAACCACACTGAGGTCTTGGGGTGGGCTAACTGGACTTATCTTTGTACATGGATCTTTGTACTGGCTTTGCTTCCTAATGTTGCAAACTCACTGTTATATTTTTATACACAATCTAGAACACAGAAATAATTGGTATCAGTAATATTGGAATGTTACATACTACTAAATTGGAAAAAAAACCAAAAATAAAGGGAGTACCAGCAAGTCTCCTTTTGCTGTAGCTGTAACTTTCATAGTCAGTTGCTGCTAGTCCTTTTATGTTAGTACATGAAAGCTGTTTCACCCCTTGCTGGCTTTCTCGGAGAGGTAATACTTTCCTCAACTGTGCAGCTGAGTAAAATTTGGTTTCCTCCTCTGTACGTGATGTCAGAACCAGTGCTTAATGGGGCAGTGCATTAACCAGTGAAAAGGGATCAAAATAAAGCAGCTTCAGTTCAAGCTGAAACTTAGAGTTTCAAGCATAGAGGCAGAAAGTTGAAAAAGTGAGCTCTGACATGTTCTCTCTCCCCTGAGAGGAGGGATGTCTGCCTGGTCCAGACATCCCACACTGCAGCAGTGTCAGCACTCTCTTAGTGTAAACAAGGAGTCAAGTCCACTGGTATCGATAAGCCACTGAGTGAGGACAGAGTCGGGCCCGATCCTGGCTGGAAGCAGAAACCAGACCTTCAGCAATTTCGTTCCAAGCTACACAGAAAAATCCTTCAGCGCAGCCTGTTTCAAACGCACGACACTCTCTGCAGAAGGGAGACTGGGCATGCCTGCCAGGAGCCTTGAGGAGGATGCTCTCTCCCATTTACCAAGGCACTGCATCATCATCACCGCCG